AGGATGTTCACAGGAGATTATTAGGGAGAAGTTTTAAGAAAATGGAAAACTCCATTGGTAAGAAAAAGAGTCAGAAAGTTGCGCTGATGAAAATTTTTTCCCATCATGATGGTGTACCTGATCATTCTTCAAGGGTAGCAAGGGCTATCCTATGACAATTTTATTGGAAAACCCCACCATATCAGCTCTACACTCCTAATCTTGTTCCTTCAGACTTCCCCCGCCCCCCAAATCCAAAGATCTTTTAAAAGGAAAACAATTTGAGCCCTTCCTTCAGACTTCCCCCGCCCCCCAAATCCAAAGATCTTTTAAAAGGAAAACAATTTGAGCCCTTCCAGGATGCCCAAGTTGAAGAGCACAGAATTATTTGGGGAATGGTTAGGGAGATGGAACAGTACTTTCACAGAAGTGCATACACCTAAATGGAAGATACATTGAGAAACAATAGCTTCACGTTTTGGTATTTTTGTTTAATAGAGGTTTTTATGATTTTGTAGTAATACTTTTTGACTTACCTTCATATGTTGCATATAGTATATATTTTAATCCTTGTAACAACCCTATCTTTTCTAGCCACTTGTTCCACAAAAATGTTGTTAGGTGCCATTGAGTTGATTCTGACTTGTGACCCAACGGAATGAAACACTGCCCAATCCTGTGCCTTCCTCACCGTTATTGTTAAGTTTGAGCCCGTTGTTGGCTGCTACCATTGTCAATCCATCTCTCTGGGGTCTTCCTCTTTTTCACTGACCCTCTACTTTATCAAGCATGGTATCCTTTTCCAGTGATTGGTCCCTCCTGATAGCATGTTCAAAGTATGAGAGATGAAAACTTGCCATCTTTGCTTCTAAAGAGCATTCTGATTATTTCGTCCAACATAGAATTGTTTGTTCTTCTGGAAGTCCATGGAAATTTTAATATTCTTCTCCAAAACCATAACTCAAATGCATCGATTCTTCTATGGTCTTCCTTATTCTTTGTCCAACTTTCAGATGCATATAAGGCTATTGAAAATACTATGACTTGGGTCAGGTGCACCTTGGTCCTGAAACTGACATCTTTGCTCTTGAACATTTGAAAGAGGTCTTTTGCAACACATTTGCTTAATGCAATTGCTGTTGTTGTGGTTGTCAAGTGCCACGGAGTTGATTCATAGGATTTCCAAGGAGAGACTAGTGCATTTGACCCACCATCCTGTGGTTAACAGTCCAGTGCTGTTAACAGTCCAGCAGCACCACTTCTTGAGTGTTAATTGTGGATCCAAGCAAAATGAAATCTTTGACAACTTCAGTCTTCATTTATCATGTTATTTATTGGTCCAGTTTTGAAGATTTTTATTTTCTTTATATTGATGTGCAATCTATACTGATTTTGCTATAGTCTTTGATCTTTATTAATAAGTATTTTAAGTCCTCTTCATTTCCTGTAAGCAAGGTTGTACCATCTGCATATCCCAGGTTGTTAATGAGTCTTCCTCAAATCCTGATGCCTCATTCTTCTTCAGACAATCCCTCTTCTCAAAGTTATTTGCTCAGCATACAAATTGAATAAATATGATGAAAGGATAAAACCTGGCTCATACCTTTCCTGATTTTAAACCATTCAGTATCCCCTTGTTCTGGTCTAACAACTGCCTCTTAGTCTGTGTATAGGTTCCTCATGAACAAAATCAAGTGTTATAGAATTCCCATTCTTTGCAATGTTATCTGGAGGTTTTTGTGAGCCACACAAATGAATGCCTTTTCGTTGTCAACAAAGCACATGTAACCATCTTTCTGGTATTTTCTGCTTTCAGCCAAGGTCCATCTAACATCTGCAGTAATATCCCTCTGTCCCATGTCCTCTTCTGAATCCACCTTGAATTTTTGGCATTGCCTTGATCATCAAGGCAAGGGGCATTGCTGTGATTGTTTTTGAATTACCTTCAGCAAACTTTTACTTGTGTATGATATTAATGATACTCTTCAATGATTTTCCCATCCATTGAGTCACGTTTCTTTGGAATGGATGCAAATGCAGATGTTTTCCAGTTGGTTGGCCAGGTAACTCTCTTCTAGATTTCTTGACGTAGACGAGTTGAGAGGCTCCATCATTGCATTAATGTGTTTAAACTTTTCAATTAGTATTTCATGAATTGTTGGAGTCTTGTTTATCACCAGTGCCTTCAGTGCAGCTTGGCCCTCTTCTCTCAATATCATCCCTCCTTGATCATACGGTGCCTCTTGAGATGGTTGAACAATAGGCCAATTCTTTTTGATATAGTGACTGTGTATTCCCTCCAACTTCTTTTGGTGCTTCTTTATGTCATTCAGTATTTTCCCCATAGGATCCTTCAGGATTTCAGGTAGAGGCTCGATTTGTTTTTTCTTGTTATTGTTTTTTTTTAAGTTCTTTCAGCTTGAGGAATGCTAAGTGTATTCTTCCCTTTTGGTTTTCTAACTCCAGGTCTTTGCACATTTCACTATAATAATTTTAGTCATCTCCAGCTGTCCTTTTGGCATTTTCTGTCAAGCTCTTTTGTTCAAGAACAAGTTTCAGAGTCTCTTCTGACATCTACTTAGGACTTTTCTTTCTTTCCTGTCTTTTTAATGGCCTTTTGCTTTCTTCCTGTATGATGTTCTTGATGTCATCCCACAACTCTCTTGATCTTCGGTCATTTGTGTCTAATGAATCAAATCTGTTCTTGAGATGCTCTCTAAATTAAAGTGGGATATACTCCAGGTCCATAGGTCTCGTGGACTTGTTTTAATTTCCTTCCACTCCAATCTGAACTTGCATATGAGCAATTGATGATGTGTTCCGCAGTCAGTCCCTGGCCTTATTTTGGCTGATGATATGGAGCTTTGTGGTGTCTTCTCTCTCACATGTAGTCTATTTGATTCCTGTGTATTCCATCTGGTGAGGTCCTCATGTATAGTCGCTGTTTATGTTGTAGGGAAAAAAAGGTATTTGTAATGAGTAAGTATTGATCTTGCAGAATTCTGTCATTTGATCTCTAGCATCATTTCTATCACCAAAGACATATTTTCCAGCTACTGATCCTTCCTCTTTGTTTCCAACTTTTGCACTCCAATCACCAGTCGTTATAAATGTTATCTTGATTTCATTTTTGATCATTTTCAGACTGAAAATGTTGGTAGAATTCTTCAATTTCATCATTATTGGCTTTAGTGGTTAGTGTGTAAATTAGAAGAATAGTGGTAGTTAAGTGGTCTTCCTTGTAGGCACGTTGTTGTTGTTAAGTACTGGGGAGTCGTTTCTGACTCACAGTGACCCTGTGCAGAGTTTCCAAGGCTGCAAATCTTTACAGGAGCAGAAAAGCCTCACCTTTCTCCCGCGGAACAGCTGGTAGTTTCGACCTGCCGACCTTGAGGTTAGCAGCCCGATTCGTAACCACTACGCTACCAGAACTCCTTTCCTTGTGGGCATATGGGTGTTGCTTCATAGATAGCATTGTACTTCAAGATAGATCTTGAAATGCTCTTTTTGATGATGAATGTGATGCCATTCTTCTTCAATAATGCCATACCTGACATTGTAAACCGTGTGATTGATTCAAAATGACCAAATGCTTGTTCATTTCAACTCACTATGCGTTCCATTTCATTTTTGAAAACTTGCTGTTTTTCTAGATTCATGGCTTCGTACAGTCCATGCTTCATTTATTAATGGATATTTGCAACTGTTTCTCATCATTTTGAGTTTTGCCTCCTCAGCAAATAAGGATCCCCCAAAATGTGCTCCTTCCACATCATTGTTATCTCTACTTTGAGAAGGGTGCTCTTTCCCAGACGTATTTTGAGTGCCTTCCAACCTCAGGGGATCATGTTCTGGCACTGTATCAGTCAAGTGTTTTACTGCTATTAATAAGCTTTTCAATGACTTAAGAATTCAGAAGTGGTCTGCCCCTCCTTATTCCTAACCTGTCTTAGTCTGAAAGTTATGCTGAAACCTATTTGTCAAGGGTGACTCTACTGGTGTTTTAAGTACTGGTGGCTTAGTTTCCAGCAGCACAGCAGCATACAAGCCACCACAGTCTGACAAACTGATAATAGACAACAGTACCGGGAATGCTTAAATTTTTCCAACTTCTACAAGTCTTTTTTTGAATACCAATGCCTATTGACAGCAGAAACTCAACGCTCTCTTGGTTTTGTCAAATAAATCACTGCCCTAGAAGTTACACTGTCTGTGGCTAGAATTATTTGTAGGACAAACAAAACTCATCCATAGTGTCAGCTCTAGAATGACATAATAGCATTATTATAAAATTTGTCAGTGTTCATAGAAGTTATCCTTTCATTATATTTACTTGTGGTGAGGGGAGAAGTACAAGGAAGATAATCACTGTTTTCTAGATTTTATATCTTTAATGTCTTTGGTACTATTATTTTGGTGGCTCTTGATGGAGAATATACGAAGGGGAAAAGCTCTGGTTCCCAGATTAAGCAGAGATTGTAAGGCGCAACAGATTTGTGAGGTGACTCAGTGACAGATCCTTGATAGAACTGGAGAGACTTTATGCTGCAGCTGTTTGCTGATATTCAGAGGCAGAACTACCTATTTTTATCCCTTGGCCACATTCCAATGAACTGTCCCTGCAGACTGAGCAGAGGGTAAGTAAGAATTGGAAGGGTTATCCTCTGGTTGGAGAGTTGAAATTGTCAAGAAATAATAGCCATTGGCTTTCAGATTTCTAGAAAGTGGTATTACCAGGTTAAAAGATCCTTAGGCTAGTATCACTATCTGGTTCTTTTGTTCGCTTCTTTGGATATGCTCTGAAATCAATTATGTTTTTCCATGAACTTGTATAAACCACACAGCAAAATCAGCTCTATTACCCTATAGTAATTTCTTATGTTCTTAATACCAAAAGTAACAAAAAAAAAAAAGGAGGTGCTTCTACATGTGTTCTTCATGTGTAAACCAAGTAATCTGCTTGTCACTTACTTTAGGATGCTGTTCATTTTTCTGACTTCTTTTTTCTTGTGTAATTACAGCTTTGGCTTTACAGATAAAGCCATAAAGAAGAGCCAGTGTCCCATCGGGGTCTTTGGTAATGGTTTCAAGTCAGGTTCCATGCGGCTGGGAAAAGATGCTCTTGTGTTCACCAAGAATGGGGGTACTCTCACTGTTGGACTCCTGTCACAGACCTATCTGGAATGTGTCCAGGCCCAGGCAGTTATTGTACCAATTGTTCCATTCAGCCAGCAAAACAATATCCTTTCTGAAAATGGACAAAGTTTGTTAAAATTTAGTCTAATCTGATTACTTCAGGTCAAATCCAGCTATCAGCAGTTTTCATCATTAATGTGAATGTAATGAATGTCACTCAACTGTATACTGAAAAATGGTTTGAAGTGGCAAAATTTTTTATTACATGTATTTTAACACGATAAAACTATTGCATAAGAGTTCATTTTGAAAGAGGTATTTATTTACATGGCTTAATTTAGTTGGAGTTTCCCATACTAAATATTTTACAAATAGTGGATCATTGACTGAGACTTAGAAATGTTTTTATAATATTGAAATTCAAGTTTTTTGTGTGATTTTATGGACAAAATAGTCTGTCTCCCACTTCCTGTCATGATAAAATTCCCAAGACCCTCTCTCTCTCTTTTTTTTTTTTTCTCCTAAGGATATACTTAAGGAGCTCTGGTAGCGTAGTGGCTGCAAACCGCAAGGTCAGCAGTTCGAAACTACCAGCTGCTCTGTGGGAGAAAGATGAGGCTTTCTGCTCCCGTAAAGATTTACAGCCTCGGAAACCCTGTTCAGGGTCGCTATGGGTCGGACCCGACTCAATGGCACTTAACAACAACAAGGATATACTTGGACAAACTATACTCTTAGATACCAAGTGTCTTTAATCCCAACAGTATAACAGTAAGGTTTGAACTCATTGCTTCCCAAGAGTGGTCTTAGAAAATTCTGTCAAATATAGGACCAACTTTTAAGCTGTATTCTGTATGGGTGATCCATTTTAGTGTTTATATTTTCAGCCTGTCCCTATCTTTCCTCTTTTATTTTATAGCAATAATGTCTGTATGTTTTTGCTAAACACACAACCCAAAAGGCAGAGCTCTCTTTTTGATAGCATCCTCTTAAGATTTCAATTTTTCTTTGACTATATTTGGTTCTACAAAAAATGATTATTACTGAAGACTCCTTGCCCAGCCTAGAAGCCATCTTGAACTATTCAATTTTCAACAGTGAAAATGACCTGCTGTCCCAGTTTGATGCTATCCCAGGCAAAAAAGGCACCCGGGTCCTCATTTGGAACATCCGCAGGTATAGTATTCTATGGGTGGTAGGTTTTAATAAGTAAAAATAGTATGATGAAGCACATTTACTCAGTATGCCTTAGGAAGCAGAGAAGAAAAATTTTGATCCATACTATAGTTGTATCTCAGGAACCCTGGTTTTTTTGTTGTTGTTAAGTATTGTGGAGTTGGTTCTGACTCATAGTGACCCTGTATAGGGTTTCTGAGGCTGTAAATCTTTACGGAAGCAGAGCGCCTCATCTTTTTCCCGCGGAACGGCTGGTAGTTTCGAACTGCCGACTTTGAGGTTAGCAGCCCAATTCGTAACCACTACGCCACCAGCAAGCTGGGCTGCTAACCTAGAGGTCAGCTGTTCAGCTCTACCAGTTGGTCTGTGGGAGAAAGATGAGGCTTTCAGCTCCCATAAAGATTTCCAGCCTCAGAAACACTATACAGGGTCAGTATGACTCAGAACTGACTCAACGACATACAACCACCACCACCATCACCATAGTTGTACCTCATTGTATCGCATTTACTTTAAGTAACAACCACAGTTTTCTTTGAGATAGTGATTCTTGCTGATGAGATGTGGAACTTAGTAAAAGGGGACGGGGCATATGCCTGTCCTGGGGCTCTTGCCACAAATAGTCAAGACAGTTCAACATTATTTATTCTAAGATCTTCAGAATCTTTTACAGGTATTTATTTCATATTCAACATGGTGTATAAAAATAGGGCCCTTTATCTTAATGCTTTCAGTGTAGCTTGATTAGAAGCCGAGAAATTTTTGAAGCAGAGAAATGTAAAGTATAATCCTAGATCCGGTCGTTATTTTTAGAGCTACAAACATTCTGGAAATACTCTAGGATAGGTAATTTATTTAATATTGCCATGCATATTGGAATACTTTTGAAAGGTGACCACTAAACCTGTATAAAATAGAGGTATTACTGGTATGTTTAATAAAGGAGTATCAGATGTATTCATTCTTATTTTTCTTCGTAGTTCAAGTCTAGTCTCATTTCTTAGTTGAGTAAAACATAAAAACCCTGCTGATTTACATAGAGAGTATTTTTCAGTTAAAAAGGAAAAAAAGTAATGAGGCTCACGCATTGGTAATTTAGATATTCCTGAGTCCTACTAAGGAAGCTTTAAGTAATATAATTTATATTATAAAAATAATTTTCCTAAGGTAATTTAGGAATTGTTGGCTTAAACCAAGCTCACCATGTGGCTTTGATGCAGGATTTCTCAGAGGCATTAATATGCTAATGTGTACTGAGACTGTTGAAGAGAGCAATATAGTATGCAGTTTTTCCCATTAAAAACATTTTTGTTTCCTAACCTCTTTTTCTTGATTAGTGAAAAGTTATGTACCAGGAGAAACTTTTTCAGAGTATGTGTGTTAAGAGTGATGTGAGCTAGTGAGAATCATCAGTGTCCTGAAAAATCTAGAATGTACTATTATAGTGAGATGGACTTTCTTCAAGCTACACACAATAGTGGCTCTGGCTCAGCCTTGAAAAGGGAACTATATTTTTAACATAGCAACTCTGAGCTTGTGGTGCCTAAAGTATGATTTTGAGGAGGCTCGGAGGGCTAGAAATTGCTTTTCAAGTTTATTTGATAATAAAATATTTACTTACTCACATATATACATACATCTTGGGGGACTACTGTTCCCACAGACCAAATTTTGAGAATTGTTGTTCTGATATGGAGCCCTGGTAACAAAATAATAAGAGCTTGGCTACTAACTGAAAGGTTAGTGGTTTAAACCCACCCAGTAGCTCCAGGGGGAAAGACCTGGAAATCTGTTTTCATAAAGATTTACAGCCTAGAAAACTCTGCGGAACATTTCTGCTCTGTCACATGAGGCTGCTGGGTGTTGAAATCAACTCAGTGGCAACTAACAACAGCATTGTTCTGATGTATCTAGTTTCTCTATAACTCATCCTTTGCTTTGAGTTTTTTCTAGGACTAAAGATGTGCCTTGCCTTTTTTCCCTGGCATTGGTTAGTGATGTAGCCCAGGGTCTTGGAATGGACCAAAGCTAAGTGGCTCAAAGAATTATGGGAAGAAGAAAGGCCCTATGGAAACAATATTAGTACTATTATACTGAAATGATATCCATAAATGGTGTCCTGAGGATGAGCATATCTATGCTGGTTTTATTAACAATTTTTCTTTATTACCTTCTAAAGAATAGCGTTAGATTTGGGGAAATCTTTAAATCTCATTAGCCCTTGTACTCTTCACTAAAAGAAATAGAAACCGGTCTTATTTCATCTATTCATTCAATTAGGAAAAATGATGTTGATTGACTTACCCATCAGTACCCAGAAAGTTGGAATCTGTGGTAAAACCATGTTTCAAGAATAGCTGACACCCATTTGATTTCATCAGATCACAGTCATTCCTACTCTGCTTTTCCTTTCCTTAAGAACTTGGTAGCACTACTCCTGTGGAACATACACTTATTTAGTAGACTGAAAATAACGTTAAATATTATGTGGTCTTCAAATCCTTTGTAATTCCTTTGTGCTGGTAGCTAAAGAAACAAAGAAATGCCTGAGTTTTGGCTCATACTGTCTCTTTTCTCTTGGGTTCCTAGTGAATTTTTGTCCTTTGGAGCCAGTATTTGTTAGATTGGTACTTGTCTCTTTTACCCAGAAATAAAGATGGAAAGTCTGAGTTGGACTTTGATACAGATCAGTATGACATCCTGGTATCAGACTTTGGCACTGAAGAAAAAGGGACTGGTGGTGCTACCTCTGAGCTTCCAGAAACAGAGTATTCTTTACGGGTAAGAACATAGTATTTTCTCAGCATTTGAGAGGTAAGATATCCGGCACTATGAAAATTCTGTAGAACAAGATCTCATTTTAGTCATATAACGATGACGGCCTTTTAGCCCTGTACTAAGATTCCTTTTGGAGTCCTGGTGTGGCACTGTTGGATAAACATTGGACAGCTAACAACAAACTCAGCAGTTTGAATCCACACAGAGTTGCTATCAGAACTGACTGGATGGCATTTAACAACAGGATTTATTTTCACGGTCTCCACCGAAATAGTTTAGCTAACGTGAGTATAGGTGGCAGCACTTTAGTGTGTTAGTTAATGTTACTATAACAGAGTATAATAACTGAGCCAAATCTTTGCCGGGAATAGATCTCAATGTTTGCAAAGTTTTATGGGGATGCTAGTAGAATTGGCAGTGTCGCATAACTTTTCCTTCATTGTTCCATAGGCATTTTGTAGTATTCTTTATATGAAGCCACGGATGAAAGTTTTTCTACGTCAAAAGAAGGTGACTACGCAGATGATTGCCAAGAGCCTGGCCAATGTAGAACATGATGTATATAAGCCTACCTTTACTGTATCCTTACAATTACGTGAAGTTGACCTCTTCATTTCAGGATTAGGATTCCAGGTTGGTACAAAAGAAGAAAAAGAACAGCTTTCTTTTTCTAATTAAAAAAAGTCTATTACAGTAGAAATCCTGTGATAGTGTATTTGAGGGAAGTTTTTCTTTAATGCCAATCTAAGCATCACTTGTATCAGACATCACTTAGAAAATTATTAAGTAGTACAGATTCTTGAAGTTTGGACACTGTTTCAGTGGATTCTGAAATCTTTGTTCTTTTTAAAATAAGAAATCTGTTGTATTTTTTAAAAAGCACCTCATCAGATTCTAATGGGTAGCCATATTTGAAAATCTCGGCTATGAAGAATAAGCCACTTTGGCTTGTAATAGAATTTCCTGATATATTAGTGATTGAAGTAAGCAAAATGTTGACAAGAACTTGCTCTTCTTGCAGTTATTGTGAGATTTTTGTTGTAGCAGGTCTAGACTTGTATTGATGGAAATTAGAATGGAAATTAAAGATTGTTTTTCTAGGGTATAAAGAATCTTTAACAGGTTTGACGTGGATTCCCAGGTGCTTTTTATAATGGCAACCATTTGGATGAACCCTTACTCTTTTTCACTGCCCTGTTGAATCGGGAGCAGACTTCAGACACTAGGGTTTATCTTAAGGTGAGGTATGGAAATTAAGTGGCATATTGTTGATGGCTTTAAAAGGCAGAAGAAAAGGATTTGGCGATACTCATTTATTCATTCATTCATTCCGATCTTTATTTTTAAAGTATTAAAAAAAATACCAGTTTTGTGGTATGGATTTTGTCTTGTTTCAGAGAGTTTTGTCTTGTCTGTGCATTGGAATAATTTGGCATTTGATCTGAGCTTAATATATCTGTGCCAAACATGGCAGTATAAATATACCTACTTCTTCATTGCCTTTGCATCATATCTGCCCTGTTTGGGGAATCTCTTACTCTGTTGCACTCCTACTCCATAATTTAGAAATTTTAAAATGTGCTGGGGAAGGAAAGTATTTGACAATCAAAATCTTTTATTTACCCCAGGGGTTTCCTTATAAGTACCTTTTCTTAGAATAAACAAAAGTGATTAAAAAAAAAAAAAAGCAACAAAAATAAAATTTTATTTTAGTAGCATTTGCTTTAATGAAAATCTGTTTCTTGGTCTCCCCTTTATCTTTATTTTTAAAGTTGAGTAAAACTTAATAAATGCTCATTCTTATTTTGCTTTTCTTATAGCAATTAGTTTTCTTAAATTCATTTATTACCCAAGTTTGTTAATAATCTTACATGAAATATATTGCTATAAGATGGTTCACTGTCTTTTACCTTTAAAAGTAAATTTGTTCTTGGTGCTTTTGCTTTCATTGCATTTTGTATCATTAGCAAGACTTACCATATCGCTTATAATTGTGTGGATTTGTGTTGTACCATTTATAGCTCTTACCAGAGCTGTGAAACCTAGCAGCAAATTGAGTTCCTAGCAAGCGTTAAGGAACATTTGTTACTATTTATGTGTTCTTTAATCACTGATGATATTTTGGTCTATTTCCTTACTCTCTGTATTATACGTGTTTTTTATATGTATTTGCTGATAATGCTTATTATTATCTGAGCATTCTCTTAATGTTCCCAACTATTTTTTGAAGAGTATAATTTTTAAGACCTGCATAAAAGACCATCAGATGGATATACCAACATTTGTTTAATAATTTTTTTATTAACATTTAAATCATATTTTTCTACCATAATGGAAATCATAAAATCTTGTGGGCTTCGCTGATTGCTTTTGCAGGAAAAGTTCCTAAAATAATTATTTGATCATAGGTTAGAAACATGCTTAGGACTGTTGCTGCTGCTGTTGTTAAGTGCCGTCGAGTCAGTTCTGACTCATAGTGACCCTGTATAGGGTTTCCAAGGAGCAGCTGGTGGGTTTGAACTGCCCAACCTAGTGGTTCACAGTCCAGCGCGGATCCTATAGCGCCACACCATGAGCCTATTGCTAAAGTTTTTTTAATTGCCCTCCGGAATTAAAAAATTGGAAAGGTTGTACCAATTTACATCCAGTAGTGTTTAATGTTTTTTGCTGTGATACAGGACAAAATTTTGTCTGCTAAGGCCCCCTGGTGTTCGCTTCCTTAATAATTTTCTTCTCAGAATAAACAAGTAAGAATCACTTTTGGGTTCTCTTGCAAGAATAATAACCAGTTTGGAGTAATGATGTATCATAACAACCGACTCATAAAGTCTTTTGTGAAGGTGGGATGCCAGGTGAAGGTAAGTGGTTAATGTTTCTTTGTCATAGAGGGCTTAGGAGAGTAGAAAGAGAATTTAAAATTTGAAAAGGGGATGGACTCCTTAATAGCTTTTACACCCAGATTATGATGGTTGTTAAATCTGATCTGGAATTCTGTGTTGCCAGTGACCCATCATGTATTGAAAAACCTTTTCTACCTCTCAGTTTCCATAGATGTTCAACAACCTGTAACTTTGCTGAATGTATTTTCTAGGTAACTGTTAATAAGAGATAGAACTACAGCACTGGCAAGCTTACCATATGTGTATTAACTTATTTCTGTTTTGGGGTCGGGGCAATAAGGCATAGTAGAAACCATGAAAGCTTGTAGTTAAAAGACCAGGATTTGGGTTCTGACATTTCCATTTATGCTCTGTAACCTTGGATAAATCATTAAATTTTTCTGAGATACAATTTCCTTTTCTATAAAATGAAAACAATAAAAATAATTTTGCCTTCTTTGCGCACCTCACTATTGAGAAGTTAAAATCGGGCAATTTACGTGAAAATATTTTAGAGACTTGAAACTCACTATACAGATGTTATTATCATTCTTAATGCTTTAATAATAATTTAAAGGAGTAATTTTCACAGGCATCCCATTCATTCTTGCCTGTGAAACACAGAAACTGTTTTGTGTTACATAGTAAACCCAAACCAAACCCACTGCCAGCGAGTTGATTCTGACTCATAGCACCTTTCTGTAGGGCATCTGAGGCTAAAAATCTTTACTGGAGTAGAAAGCCTCATCTTTCTTCCACAGAGCTCCTGGTGGGTTTGAACTTGCGGCTTTGCAGTTTATAATCCAGTGCTTATCCTACAGCGCCATCATAGTAGGACAGAGATATGTAAGGCCCAAGAAGATAGCTAGTGTTCAGCCCACTTGCTTTTCCTTGGTTGGTATAGTATCTTTACACAACTCAGGTTTGTGTGCCAGTCTAATTACATCTTGACTCATTTCCTTCCATTAAAGGATAAGAAATGATTTGGGGCCCAGAAACCGTTTCCATCAACTTGTCATTAATAATTACTGCAAGTCTGACTTTTTAATAGTGGTTTGGTGGTCTACCTATGTGAAAAATTTGTTTATTTTAATAGATGAGGTAGTGATGATCACATAACATCCTTAAATTTTTTTTCTTCAGAAAAACTGGTTTAAGTATCCTATAACAGTAGTTTTTTAAGCTTGATTTTTTTTTTTTTTAGTAATGTAATTCTTTGTTCAAATGGAATCTTGTGGCAAGACTAGCATATAAAACAGATGAAAGTAGAGATAGCATCGAGTCAGTTCTGATTCACAGCAACCCTGTATAAGGTTTCCAAGGAGCGGCTGGTGAACTGGAACCACTGACCTTGCCATTCTAACCATGCTAAAATTTGCCAGTGGTTCCAGTAGAATATAATATTTGTAGTCTACTGAAGGACAGTCTTCGTTATACTAGATCTTCAGGACCTCTCCTTGCCCATGAACATTATGTAACCTTGCTGGTATGGCTTGGAATCAAAAAGAAATTATCTTCAGGTAGTCAATGGTAACGCAAATGTTGAAATTATTATTATTATTTTTATCAAAGCCAACTCATGGAGAAGGTGTGGGAGTAATTGGAGTCATTGAATGCAACTTCCTAAAGCCTGCCTACAACAAACAAGATTTTGAGTATACAAAGGAATACCGGTGAGTCATCCCAACATGTGCTTCTGATAATTTCTTTAGAATATGAATCTATTCTCTGGCCTTTTTGGGAAATCATCTCCAGAATCAGTCAGATAAGTTAACTGAGAATTCCCTCAAATCTCTTTTCCAAGGTGAAAGATAAAATTATTTCATTTTTAAATTAAGGTCCACTGATACTTGATACATGGAGCCCAGTTGAGATAAACCATACCTTTAGAAACCATGGAAGGGAAACAGCATTAGAGCCATTTGGTAAAGTGTTTCTGTTGTTGTTAAGTGACGTGGAGTCGGTTCTGACTTATACCGACCCTGTTCAAGGTTTCCAAGGAGCAGCTGGTGGGTTTGAGCCATGGGCCTTGTGGTTTGCAATCCAGTGCTGCTCCTATAGCACCACACCAGGAATCCAAAATATTTCTAGTGAAGCAGAAATGATTCTAGCCTCAGGATTGATTTTAATTAGCAACAACAAAAAAAGAGTGGATCTCAAGGTGTTGTGTACATTGAGGGGAAAAGCAGAAGTTTGAAGTATATTTTTAAAAAATTCATGAAGTCATTGAGCAGATTCAGAGAAAAGTATTGGAGTAACAGGAAAAGACATGCTTTTATAGAACCCTTGAGATTTGACAGGGAAAACAAACAGATAAGAATTTAAAAAGGAGCTTGACATTGAGGCTGAGCCAACAGGGATATTTTTAGAAGGCAAAGACAGCAGTTGTTCAAGCCAGGGTGGAATAGTTAGTTTGAAACTTTGTGGGGAGGAATAGATCATTCTTTCTTTCTTGAAGTATTATGAGATACCTGCTATTTGCCAGATACTAGGGACATATGGTAGAAACCTGGTGTAGCACTATAGGATAAGCACTGCACTACAGGATTGGCAGTTCAAACCCACCAGGTGCTCCTTTGAAATCCTATACAGGTTCACTAAGAGGCAGAACCGACTCGACAGCACAAAACAACAACAGCAACAAAGGGTCATATGGAGTCCTGGTGTGGTGCTGAAGGAGACGCACTGGATTTGGTAGCTGCAGAAATGGTAGTTCAAACCCACTAGCTGCTCCTCTGAAACCCTGTACAATGAGTAATATGAGTAAGAACAGACTTGATAGAACTGAACAACAGGGACATAAGAAGAGCCCTGTGTGGTGCTGTGATAAGCACTAGCTTGCTAATCACAAGGTCAGCAGTTCAAACCCACCATTCACTCTCAGAAACCCTATACAGGGTCACTATGAGTTGGAAGAGACTCAGTGGCACACAACAGCAATAACAGGGACATAAGAAAGAAAACGTTCTGGTGTGGTGTTATAGAATAAACACTGGGCTGCTAACTACAGGTTATCAGCGCAAAACCACCAGCTGCTCTGCTGGAGAAAGATGAGGTTTTCTGCTCCCATAAAGATGTACAACCTCAGAAACCCTTTACAGGGCCACTGTGAGTCAGAATCGACTAGATGGCTGTGAGTTCGAGTTTGAGGGACTTAAGAAAAGTGAAAAATCCTTGATTCCTGTGAGCAAGTGAAATGAAATATATACAAATGAAAATTTGAACACCCATAAAGTAATTGCTTTAATGGAGGATATATGCATGATGTGAAGAACCTGTAAGTAGGTTTAAGGGAGTCAGGAACTTTCACAAAGCAGACCGCATTTGAATTTAAGCTTGAAGGAAAAGTAGGAGTTGGTAGGTGGGCAAATCAGGCATGGATATTTTAAGAAAAGGAAGTATACACAAGGGCAGGGCAAGAAAAGGCAGGATGTTCTGGGAGTATGGGGATAGAAGGCATGAGAAATCAAGAAGTATTTGGTGTCATTTTTCTGAAGTCTCAGTAGTAATTTACTCTTGGAAAGGGAGAAAGCTAATTAATGAACTCTCTTTCCACTTACTCTTTTTTAATCAAAACTGTAATAAAGCTAGTTTAAATGTACCTTTGTTGTTGTTGTTGTTAAGTGCTATTGTGTCAGTTCTGGCTCACAATGACCCTGTATAGGGTTTCCGAGGAGTGGTTGGTGAGCTTGCACCGCTGATCCTCAAGTTCAAACCGACCTTCCAGTCCAGTGCATTAACCCACAGCGTCACACCAGGACCTTTATTTATCTAGAATCCTGAGAGTTTTCATTTTAATGCTTGGCAAAGAGACATCTGTTTGGATGGGAACCCCAAGTTAATCCTGGAGTGCTTGATTCTTGGTCATTGGGTCTTCTAAATGGTTGTGGTAGCTACTTGCCCTCAGCTTTTGTAAAATGGTCATTTAAATATGAATCTGACTCATAATGGGGATCTTTGATCAGGATTTGATTCTTAAGCTTAATGATTTAGGGATGACATCACTTTCACAAAAGTTTCATTCTGTTGCTGTAGTTTACAACAAATAGTGAATTTCTAATCATTAACGGAATGGTTAGAACTTGAGAAATTCATCTATTTTATTAAAAGACTAAAGTCTTTTTACATCATCTTTACCACCTTTAAAAAAAAACAAAAAAAAACACCTACCTTTTATTTTTCAAGAAGTGCTGAACTCTTGATTTATGAGAGCTACTTTTTGGCATGATGAGTTTGAGGTTGTTGCAGGACTTCCAAATAGAGATAACCCACAAACAGTAGATTTATTCAGCTTAAGAATCATAATTTTATTTTCAATAAGGAAATAATGCACTGGCATAGAGTTTCTTGAGGATAAAAAATTTACAGAACTCTTAACCTTTTCATGTTGTAGAAACCATGTGGGAGCCATGTCTGACTTCCCCTGGCTTCACAAGGGGGAAGGAGAATCAAACTCAAAATCATCCCAAGGCAGATCCTTTGAGGTGGAGGTCAGACCTGCCTCTCTCTACCTTATATAACCTTCTCTATCCTATTCTGACACCAGACATTCCTCCCACAGCACTTTGTGCTTCACATCTGGGTTTGATAATCTGTTGCAATAGCCACACAGAACTCATAATAATACTCATGATTATGAGGTTAATAGGGAAGTGAACAAGGTAGAATTCAGGATTAAAACCAACTCAGGATGCAGCAGTTCTTCAGTCAGGAACGCCTCTTGTCTGCTATATTGCAGGCAAGCCTCACTCTTGTCTTCAGCCTCTTAACATTTGGCCCCTTGGCTTCTTGCCCTGCTTTGGCAAATGTTACAAAGCTCTTTTAGCCAGTTTGTGAATGCCCAAAGGGTGCATTCTACAAGATAGTCTCCTGCCCATAGACACTCAGCTTTACTCAGTCCATGGGCCTAGAACCCACAGCTGCTCTGTCTCTCCATGCCACCACCTATGCCGTCACCTCTGATGTTTCCACTTTTCTAGTTAGGGCTCTCATCGCTGTACTCATGCTCCTCCTCCTTGATGGTCCTGGGGTCTTCTGTTCCTGCTGCTGAGATGACTCCTTTTAAACCTAGCTAGATGGCAAAACTGACCAATCCCAGCCTTAGAGTGCTGTACAACTTATTTGCATGGTCCTACTTAATCACTTGGTAGGAATCACATGTTGGATAGAAAATCCATATCAAGTAAATTCAAGGTGTTACAGACTTAGTTTGGAGTTCTGGTGTGGTGCTGTGAGCTAAAGTGCTAGATTGCAAAGTTGGTTTGAACTGCAAGGTCAGTGGTTCAAGCTCACCAGCTGAGCTTGAACCCTATACAGGGTCGCTATGGGTCAGAACTGACTCAGAGGCACTTAACAACAACAACAACACACTTCGTTTATCTGATATAAAATGAAAATGTGTTTCAATCAAAAACTAGGAGAATTCCCCCCAAATCATCAGAAACAAAAACAAACGTTTACTGGTCTGCTTAGAGGGACACCCCCCCCCCCACCACCACCTTGGGGAACAACTTTGAACCAAACAGTACAGAGGTCTATAAATGTAATAAACAATACCTGTGAAGAGCATATTACTCAAACCAATCAACCAGATGAGACCAAAATGGCAGCATTTGCCCAAAAATACAAGTCAGAAGGCAGGAAAGAAGGACAAATGGAAATGGGGAGGAAGTTGGAAGAGTAGGATTGTCACAAAACAAAATGTATATAAATTGTTGAATGGAAAACTAACTTGCTCTGTAAACTTCCACCAAAACTACAATAAAATGTTTTTTAAAAAGGGAAAAAAGGGTGTGTTACATAGTTGATTATTTTAATTATTTCCAATAAGTTGCACTCCAAAAAAACTGAACTGGCAAAAGTTGTGTGTTAGCTATATTCACACACACAATTGCTGCTGAGGCTGCTTGTGTACAATAAAAAGTCTCAGGGGAGTTTATTTCTTGGTTTGGATTTTAGGGTCATGGTTTCATGGGACATCTCAGTTAACTGGCCTAATACCATGTTTTAGTGCTTCTGTTCGTTCTGTGCCTACTTTGTTTTCTAGTACCTGGGGTCTTAACAGTTTGCTAGCTAGCCATCCATGGCATGATAATTGGTCTCTGTTCACCTGGAGCAAAGAGGAAGAATGAAAATCAGGAATAAGAGGGGTCTTCAAAACCTTTGTGGAAAAATAAGATTAATGGAATTTTTCAATGAACTTTTTGAAGCCCCTTTGGAGGGAGGAGGGTATGGAATGTATGGATAATTTCCTCCATGTACACCTGCCTCCTTTGCCTTGAGACCAGAAGAACTGCATGGTACCTGGCTACCAGTAGAGAACATTTTGTTCCAAGATGTTATAAAAGAATCCTGATCTATTAAAAAATGCAAAACAGAATTTCAGTCATCATGGACTCCAGACTTTTTGGAGCCACAGAGACTGAATGAACCCCTGAAACTATTGTCCTGAGATTAATCTTCAAAACTTAAAAAAATATGCCCCAAAGTTTTAAAACCAAGCAATGGTTTGTTGTTATTAGGTGCCATAGAGTTGATTTAGACTCATAGTGACCCTATTCAAACAGGATGCCTAGTCCTGTGCCAAACTCACAATTGTTGCTATTTTTAAGTCCATTGTTGCTGCCACTGTGTCAGTCCATCTCATTGGGTCTTCTTCCTTTTTGCTGAGCTT